CAGGCCTTTCATACCATACCAACTCTATCTCTGTCTCTGCTATTAAGTGGAAAAGCAGGGTGAGACTGACATTCACCTTTTTACTTTGATTCACAGAGGTGCCACCAAAATACCCAGCCAAACACAGCATTCAGCAAACAACAGCACCAGCCAAAGACTCACTAATCATTACATGCCATCCTTCAGAGCTTAGCATTTAAAATTGGTTGTTACAACAAAGCAGATTAAAAACTACTTTCGTCAACCAGATTACATTTGTTATCCCAAGAAAATAGTTTTATTAGTTTCTTGGTAAAACAACAATCTTCACTCGACCGGGCATAAAGAAATTTATATTACAGACTCTCCCTCTGTCTTCGTTTTCTCATCTGCTCATTACTGTATATCAGAGTTTCTCCAAGAGATGTTGTCCAAAATGCACCATTAAATCAGGCTCTAGTCTATAATAGACCTGCAAGGAGTACTTTACACACTTTAATATTTTTTTCATGCCATTCAAATGCAAAAAAATTTCTACTTTTTTTTTTAAACACATATTTAGTAACATTTGTGTTACTAAGTCAGATGCTCAGTAAACAAGCAGCATGAGAACATCTGATATGTTTCATGTGACATTTATATACTAAACAATTAGTGAACTGTTTGAAAACTGATTGACAGATTGATACATGTAACAAACGGCATATTTTCTGTTTTTGTAATTTTTACAGTGATCAATGAAATCTGTGATAAAACAACAATATACAACTCATGTCAAACTTATGTTCATAGATAACAGGACTGTTATTTGTTTTAGTCTGCCAGGAAATGCTCAGCAACAGCCTCTGACAAATCAGATACCCTACTTGACAGGCAGTGACACTCACGGGGTTACCCCGGAGAGCTGTGAGATCAGGGACAGACAGAAACAAGTGGACGGGGAACTATCTGCAGTCTGGGTGAAGGGAGAAGCCTTCTTCATGTCAACGCCAGTAATGCCCAGAGCTGTGCCAGCTGTTAAGTGTCCTGACCCATCCTGGCTCTACTATTAGGGTATTCCCATCTCTGGGAAAAAACCTAAGATGCCACAAAACAGCAGTGTGTTTGTGTGTTTTATTTTTTTTTTTTATGTATTCACTGATTTTTCTTTCCCGTGTCTGTCCTTTCTTCTATACCCATACGTACACAACCTGGCCACAAACTCACCCAAGGCTACACATGTGCAAACACAAAACATCAATTGTAATTTTACTGTTACATGTTGCTGTTTTTCTGTGTCTTTCTAAAATATCAGATAAATAAAAGCCCAGTAATAACACTGATGCTGAAAATGTACGCCTACAAAAGATAACGATAGTGAACCTGAAAGGAAGCAACAGAAGTCATCATTTTAACTCTAAAAACAACATGAAAATACACATCAACAACAAAACAAAAAAAGTCCTTAATAACCCCGAGTCTACAGAGTCAAGTCGGGTCTGATGAGCCCTTTGGCAGACTTCACCCTGTTGTTATTTTACAGTCGGAGATGTTGGGTCCAGTGGCCACGAGATCCACGTAGTGGTGTTACAGCCCTAATGCCAGATCCAGATATAGCTGGACACCATGGGGATAAAAATACCCAAACAGATGGGAGGGTTCACAGGCAGAGGGGTAGAGGCACCAAGCACAATTAAAGACTTCAGACAAGAGGAGGACTGCAATTACAGCTGTTTGCTAACCTCTGCCTTCTAGTGGTTAGCACAACCTTTAGTTAATACCCATTCAGAGATAACGACCTCCCTCAGAGACAGAAATGTTGACGTTAATCATATATAAATCATATTCCTAGCCCCCACAGCTTCAGTATTATCACCTACCTAGAATGTTAGTTAGACCTCTTCTTCTAAACTGACCAAATTTCAGGGGAAAAACAGATTTCAAACATAAAAGTGGTATAAGTGGCAACAAATTTATGGTGAAGAGAAAAGTTGAAGTGCTGAGGAAATGGCTGAGCTGTCACAGGCTGCCCCAGAATCAAGCAATCATAAAACAAACAGGCCTTGACATTTCATGTGGTTTTCACAGTCTGTTTGAAAGCTACTAAACCAGTGCTGCCGGGGGGAAAAAAAACACTGTTCATGCTGACACAAAGCAAGTACACTACTGACTGAGCTTAAGGCCTGTGTGGGATTATTTAATAAGAGCCTACAAATGAATTAACATTATTCTAATGACAAAGAAATTGGTGAAAGGGAAGAAAGTGTAAAAATGATCTTTACAAGAATTGCTACTGTGCATGAAGTGACAAAGGTTACTAAAGAAAAAAAAACAAACAAACAAACACTGAAATGCACTTCAGAAAAATGTTCTTTCAGTCACAGTTTCTTCACCTCATCCAGAGGACAGCTGACTCAAAAGCATACAAGAGCAGATCGTGGGAAAAGGGCCCCGTCTGATTGTTCTTATTTACTTCCTGTGTATCTCACTCTCAAACAGTCAAGTGCACAATGAAACTGGACTGTAATTAAGATAATAACTTTTCACAATAGAGATTTATCAGAATACGTTATTTGAGGACACCTGGAACAGTAGGTTTTTGTTTTCAATTTCAAGAGATAGTTCAAGAGATACTTACCAACTTAATGGCCACATATTCGTTAGTATAGAGATTTTTTCCCAGCCGCAGTTCTCCAAAGTTTCCACAGCCAATTTTTTTACCCACGCGGAAGTTTGGACCAACCATAAGAACTCCAGAATTGCTCCCTGTACTCCTGCCCCCATGTCCAGTCCTGCTGCTTGTTGTCTTAGACATCTTTTTCCCTTCCTCTGTCTCTCCCTTGCCCCCTCTCTTGTCAAAATCCATAAGCTTGTGATACCCTGGCCTCTCCACGGTTATTTTCCAGCCATGCAAACCATAGAAACTCCAATGACAATGGAGACTGTTTTAGGGAGGGGGAGGGAGACGCCTCACAGGACAGAGGAAAGGTGTTGCTGTTAAAATGCGAAGCGGTTCAGAAGACACTTAAATGAGCCAAAACTGCAGCCGAATGGACCTGTGTGCCTATTGGACAGCTTTTTCCCTTTTTCTTCGTTTACCAGAGGGGCTTCTTTGTTGTGCGTTTCTCCACTCCAGTCTCAGAGCATCATGTCCCCGCCTGACAAATAGGCAGGTGATGTTAGGATGTGTCCAAAGACACACATGCAACACTAGTCATAAAAAAGCACTCAGAAACGCAACTACTGCATCCACAAGGCCACTTGGGAACATCTCCTGGAGTGCCTCATTCCTTCTGGTCAGCCTTCAGTGACACTTTGGACGCTCTCCATGATGCAGGGCCACAGCTTAGCGGGCAACCCGGAATTACACTGACAGCAGGAACAAACAGTCAGGGGTGATGTTGGTTTGTTATCTGAAAAAGAAAAACATGGCCAGAAATCAGTCCGTAGGTTGTGATGTATTTTGGTATTGTCTCGACTAAGAGCCCAGGCCATCATTTACACACAACCCAATCATTACTCACGCTTACAACAGAAATTTGCTTGTTTGGAGATGGACAATTTGGACTGTAATTGCAGAAATAAAAGCTCTCCAATGGCAGGTACCTGCCATAACTTTACAAACCATCTACAAAACAATTAAAAATGGTAAAAATGCTGGTAAATTTAGCAAATTAATCACAACTTGTTCCAGCAACACTTGGGCCTTTATGAAATTAACATTTTCGACAGGGAAAAAAACAAACGAACTCAAGCCTTTTGCATGAGTATCACATTATATCTACAGTGGCTCTTCCTTACTACGGCTGAAATGAGATCTTTATGCAGACTGACGCAAAGCAAATTCAATAAAGGAATCAATACGAGGAGAACTGTTGACCTCAGACATGAGAAATTACAGATAAAATATTCTAAAAGAAACCATGTAACAATCCTGTGTGTTTATAATGAAGACCAACATAGCTAATACTGCTAAATAACCATCTTGTTGTCGTCTTTCACAACCACACGCAGGCGTCTCTGCACAGAGCCACTCCGTCATGTCCATGATCTAAGATGCTGCTGAAGAGAGCAGGTAATGCAGGCGCTAGCTCGGGGCAGCTACTCTTTCCTATGGAAAGGCACTTACACAGATCAATGACTGCTGTAATGCTTCATCTAATCACAACATTTGCATCACTGGACAACATTATTGGAAAGATTCAGAAACAGTCTAGTCCACAGCTAGCTCAGCCGTGTCTGACCATCACAAGATAAAAAACAGTATCACCAGATAGAAGTTCGCTAGGGATGAGCGAGTAATTTTTTGTGTTTAAATACGTCTTTACTACAAAGTGACTCTGGCCAATGCAGAATTCATTCCAAAGACTACAATGAGAAAAACAAAGCACTATATTATATATATACCTAGGTTGCTTTGCATATGGTGACACTTACTACAGGAATTGTGGCGAAACTAGCCTTGCCAGTCACGAGATAAGATGAACACTATGTGACAGAGTAAAACTTATCAGCTTGTGCATGCCAAAAGATGACAGCAGCTCCTGGAATGGTAGAGTGCATTATGTGAGGCACTTAATTTTCCAAGCTGCCCGAGGCCGATACACTATCCACACATTTAAAATAAAAACATGATGTAAGGACATTGGGCAAGTATGGGAATATTTCTGAAAAACACCAATGACCTCAGTATCTTGCTGTCTTGGTTAACTTTCCGTAGGCTGCCCATGTTTTCAGTCTGTCCCATTTAAGGAAGTGGTGCATTGTTTTTCCCATGACAGCTATTTGACATAACTATCGAGTTGTTAAAACATACAAAGCGAACAGCGACATATTTCACGTATTGAGAAGGTATTTGGAAGCACAAAGACAGTCCATTTATGAATGATCCCCCTCCAAAAGAAACCTCCCTAAGCCAGATAATGTCCCTAAGGCCAGTTTCATAAAGCTAACTAGCAATAACACTAGCAGGACCGTTTCAAACCGTGTAAATACGAACACAAACACCAACAGAAAATACCCCAAAATGCAAATGAGCAGCGGTAACCAAACCGGAATGGCAAATTTTCCCTCGTCACTTACCTTCCTTTTTTAGCTTAGGTTAATGATAGCTAGTTGCTAAGTTGCTACTGTCTTAACAGCTGTCATTTAGCGTTAGTTTCGGACAACCCAAAGACTCGCTTTCTATACTTGTTAGCCGATTTGTTTCCCCATAAAGAACGATAAATGGAAAACGCCGTTTTAAAAAAGTGAATGCCGTCGGTATGAGCTTTAAGAAAGGCTCTGTAACATTACACTTGCTGGCTCGGCGGGCAAGGCCAGATATTCTGAAGCTATCGTAGCGCTGGCTAGGAAGCCCGAGTTAGCTTGACATCCTTCAGTCGTAGCTAGCTTGACTATTTAATTAAGAATTAACGGTAAGTGAATGTAAACATTTAATTTCAAGTTGTAGTTAAGCCAACATGTCACACAGTTGAATTAAGCTAACCTAGCTCGTACCTGCCAAAAACACCGATCCTTGGCCCAACGTCTGCTTAAAAAAAAAAAAAAAAAAAAACAGCCGACGATGTAACGCTAGCCAATTTGTTAACAACACAGTATCACAACAACACGGGCTACGTGTTAGCAAACACATTCAAATTAAATAAGTCGAAGCCTTACAGAGAATCAAATATTCATTGACTGACATTTCCTGAGCTACATATACGTGGCTAGTTAGTAAATGCTTAATAACCGAAAAATAACGTCCCAAGCGAGGCTGTTACAAATATTATCGACTGAAAAAAATACTATAATATAACTATATAAATATATATATCTTTGAGTCACCTCAGAATGTCGCTTTTATGATAGTTCAGATAACAGCTACAGCCATTACCCGGACCACTGCCGGGCAACTCCTTAATCCTAAACAAGCGAATGCACACCAACGGCAGCCCGGGATCTCTTACCGCTTAGCTCTCAAGCTAGTCATTTAGCAAGCTAGCACACCAGGCACGTTAACAAACTGCGTTGCGGCGTTTTGAAAAACAGCCGCTGGGAATGAAGCCCTGTCACGGAAGAATCGTTACCTTTAAATGTTAGCTATCGAAACGCAGTCGAAGTCATGGTTCTGCGTTCGTCGCTATCTTCCTCGTCTGGTGCCTCTTGTCCTCAAGTTGCTATGATTTCACTGTTGTCTCTTTAAGCCTCCCTTAACTGCACAGCGTCACCCGGGCTCACGCCACACAGCGCTACGCTGGAAAACCGGCGCAACCGCTTTGGTGAATAACCAGAAACATCAGGCGATCGTAGCTCCCCGACTACGTGCTCCAGACTAGACCGGTTGCTTTTGATTGACACATGTGCACAACCGGTAAAACTGAAACTAACATGCTGCAAGTGTAGAGCTGCTCTACTACTACCGTCCTTTTAGAAAGTACTAGTACTGATACTACACTGTAATTTGCAGTGTAGTACTAACCCTTTTTCAGTCTGTAAAAAGATCAACAGGGAACATATAGTTGAAGCATGCATTAGGTTGTAAAAGTCCTTCAAGCTATTCGGTCCGTTGTGACTGAGGCAATAACGCAATGGTAATAATAATAATGATAATTGGTATTAATTATTGTTATTAATAATTAATTCATGTCAAACATCACTTAGATTTTAAAATATTTTAATGAAAAAAAGACAAATATACAATTTTACTAACTGTATGTACAATTTACAACAGTTTACAATAATTACAACATATTTCCTGAATTATGGGATAATTTACATGTAAGTGACTGAAACTGTCTAGTAAAGGTAGTGGAGGGAAAAGTGCTGAAAATCTTGGATCAGAAGTTAAAAGTTACATAAAATCCTCACAGTACGAATACCTCAACGTGAGCTTGTGTTTGTACTTGCTTCTTTTTTTTTAAACCACTGGAAATATCAGAGTTTTAGCTTCATTTCCAAAATGTCTGAGTAGGTTCTCAGTCACCCAGGCCATTGTAGTCTAAGGTGCTTGGAAAGAAAAGCGACTGGACTTCTTTAAGTTTCTTGAAGACGTTTCACCTCTCAGCCGTGAAGCTTCTTTAGTTCAGAAAGAACTTAAAGAAGTCCAGTTGCTTTTCTTTCCAAGCTAGTTCCACTGTTTTCCTGGCTATGGTCTATATCATAATCCTTTCTTGAAAGAGAACTCTGAGTCTAAAATAAATAATAGAAAGAGCAGGTGCCAGTGATTTTATTTAACATTTCTATGCTTCAGTGCTCAGTTACAAAATGACTTTTCCCAAATGCTTTTGCTATTTTTTTTAATTGTCTACCCCTAATCCTAGTACTTAGCAGTGTAACAAGCTATATAGCGCTGAGCAGATTAGGAAAAATGAACTGTGAAAGTACAGAGTGTTACATCCGTTTATGCAGACAGGTGAAACTCACAGAATATAAACGTATACTTTCAGCAGCTGTCAGGTTTGTCTCTCACAGGACTGCTTCAGGTGTCCACATCACTTACAGCCCCAGATGCGGATGTTGCACTGCTTTACTAGAGCAAGGAGTCTGAAGGGAGACGCTACAGTTTTTTGTAAGTGACAATGTAGGAATCCCGAGGGTGGAGCTGTGCTGCTGTATGACGGGCCAGAACACCGGAGGGAAGGCGAGCTCAGTGGACAGCACTCCTACAACTGGCTGGTGAGGTGTGTGATTGTAACACTCTCCTGCCATGAAGGGGAAAAGCGGAGGAGAGGGAAGTCGTAGGGGGCACTGTGAGATGTCAGAGTCTAAATCCCTGCTTTTGGTCACATCAGGAGGAGGAGGAGGCGCCGGTGGGATGCTCCTGTCACCGCATGATAAGGTGATGTCCTGTTTGTCTCTAGCCTTGATGTCCTCGTGTCCTGCTTTGCTGTGATGTGGAGCTTCCTCCAGACTCTGGTCTCTGGACAGAGGGGAGCATCGTTGACCTTTACGAAACTTTGCCCTCCTGTTCTTGAACCACACCTGGATGAGGAAGACAGGACGACCGATGCGCCACAAATAAGTGAGGTGTTTTAACACTATTAAAGCTTAATGTAGTCAAAGTTAAACATGCATTTTTATTTTAAGATTATACTTGAGGTGTGCTCTCACCTGAATGCGAGCCTCGGGCAGGTTTATACAAACAGCCAGCCTCTCTCTCATGCCAACATCTGGGTACTGCGTCTGCTGGAAGGCTTTCTCCAGAGCCTGCAGCTGCGACACTGTGAATGCGGTGCGGCTGCGGCGCTGCTTCTGCTGGTTGCCATAGCGAGCCTCGAGGATGAGCTCTGGCAGGAAGAAAATGGGAGCAGCACATCACTTCAGGCAAGTTTTCAGCAACTTACAGAGGATCAACAAAAATGTCAACAATATCAAAAGGACAACGACAGTCACTTAAACCAGGAATAATTCTTAAGCACCATGTTTAAATGGGTCACTGTGTTTTCTGTTCTGGACAAACATATCTTTTTCTCACACTGTACAAATATTTAAAAGAAAATAGCACTCTAAAATATACTTATATTGATGTTTTTGTAAATATTACATTATATAGATTACATTATAATCATTGATGCAGCAACAAGACTGCTTCCCTGAGGCTCCATATCGATCATAATTTGTGTTATTAATCTGAAAGTAACTGTAGTTATTGATATATGCTGTGCTGTAAAAGATGAATGTACATTGTGAGAAAAAGAAAAAAGTAATCCCACCGTGGTGACTGACCCACCTGCCAGCCTCTCCGCCACAGTGAGTGTGTGCACTGTGGGACCTGCTGCGGAGTATGCGTGGTACTGCTCCGCCATCTGGTGGCGCAGGTCCACCAGCATGGAGTTAACTCCGTGGAAGGGGTACACGCCGCCGCTGGACGTCCCGCAGAAATTCAAGGAGTTCATGCTGAACCTGAAGAAACAGAGAGACTTCATTACCTTCAAGATTGTGCCTTTTTTCCCCTTTACTGTGGTATCGATACAATAACTGCCCACCGAAGCGAAGTTAAGATTAATCGAAAATCCAGAGTTTAAGTCTCCACATCACCGCCAGCTCCTCTCCAAACGAATTAACTACTAATTAAATGGGAACACGGTGACACTTGTCTTATTATAAATTAATAAAATACCATATAATTTTATTTTTTATTGTAATCAAATCTGAGAAAGAATGAGCATAAACTCTATTGATATAAACGCCACTGATTTCTCTGAAATGACGTCATTATTTACGCTGATGTAACAGAATCTGACGTTCTGGGCGTAAACGGGTCAAAGTAGATAAAACGGTATAATTGCCTCTTTCGATAATAGTGATATCAGTGTGAACGGATCCAGGATCACGTCTGCACTCGTGGGTTATCACTTCTGCTTCTGCTTTAGAGCTATTTCTGTTTTGACTGCCCTTTAACTCCCAGTTTAGAGCTCAAAAGTAAATTCAGTGATATCATCACGCAGCCAGGAAGCTAAACTATAATGGTAAGTTGCTATCCGGGTTAAGACGTTATTCAAATCTCCTCCTTTCTTTTATTTTTACCTGATACCCGAATCCAAAGCAGAACCGTGAGATCCAGCTCCAAGTGCGTCTTTATGCATGCACACAGGTCGGCCAGTAAACCGTAGTCCAGTTTTTTTAGTCCAATTTGGGCCTTATATCCTCGCAGAGCAGCGCTCTTTGTCGTGGCATGGGCTTAATTCTCCCAAACCATTCTCACCCACGGCTATTTAAGAAGCGTTTACCCAGGCTCCCCTCAGCCATTAGCCAATAGAAAGAAAGGTATTAGCCGGGATTAGGTGGGATGAGGGGAGAGAGGGGGGATGCGAGGAGCTCAAGTTTTTGAAACTATTGAACTTGAGAGATTTATGCCAAGGATCTCCCTATAAGAGCGCGTTTCATTCCCTCCCTTTAAAACAATTAAAACAATGTGGTCGGCTAATCTCCGAGGCAGGGCAGATTAAAATAACAGCCTTTGATTGTCCTCTCCTTCTCGGTCCCTCTTTCTCCCATACCGCTGGTTTTGACAGTCTCCCCCTCGGAGGGGGTTTTCTCTAAGGGTTTGTTTTGCTAACAGGGACCATATTTTGCCTATGAACTGTCACAATGTGAAGTTAATCTGAACCCCACTCTGCGAGAACAATTTCTAAGCTCCAGCTGAGCTAAATTAGAAGTCCTCTCAGGGACACAAGACCAAATCAAGGACTGCATCAAATCACCAGCAAGAATAAAGTCCTCCAGCACCAAATGACCAGTGTGGAGCCAGAATACTTTCATCGCCATCACTTCTGGTGGACTTTTTTAAAACCATGTCTAGTTTAACTGCAAACACTTTGAAGTTTTTCCACTTTTGTTTTCAGCTCATGGTGTCCCGTTTGGACTCTCGAGGCTTAGAAAGAAGACACACTGATGCTCATTTCTGCAAAGAACTCATAAAACAAAATTTCTGAGACTTCAGTTCTGGCAAAGCTCCAAAAACACTGGATGCCTTCATGTCCCAGAATGCATCTCTTTGGTGTCTTCATCACACTTTATCATCCCTGTTCTTTCACCTCCAGCTTATAATCAGGTTTTCTGTCAGAAGTTTGTCATTTCAAACCAAACTGGACAGTTTTATAATGAGACAACACCTCAATAGGAAACTTCACAACAGCGTATCAGAGTCTGACCTAACAGTTTAGTACGGGAGAAGACTTTTCAGACCTGTTTGTATCGGTGTAACAAAAATCTAGGTTTCTCCATATACTCACACTCCAATGACCAAGAAAAAGAAAAAGGAAGATATTTCTTTTTCTTTAAAGCCCAAAATGCAAAATGCATCTGTACAAAACAAACTACAGTCTTTATTCTTGGATTGAAAACAACTTTAACAATGAGTAAAATGAGGAAACCTCATCAGACGAGATCTTCTTCCAGGTTAAACAGAGATTTAACGATGCTGAAAGAGTTAATAGAGTTTATCCCTTAAACCTATTCCACAGTAAAGTGGACAGATACAGCGAGGCTAATAAGTCTGTGTTTTCAGCAA